GGGAAAGACTACCACTCACAGGGTGACAAGTCCTGTCTCTGTCAGTTTGCATTCATTACAGCAAACCTATGATGTGCCCAGCCCTGTATTAGGTCTCCAACCTTGAGTGGGGAAAACAGTCACACAGAGGATCTCATCATAAAGCAAATGTGCTTTGGAAAAAAATTATCCACAGAATTATATGGGTATGTATATATGTAGAGACAGACTTTGGTTCAACCCAAGACACCGGGAGCATTGAGGTGGAATGTTAAAGGAAGATTGTTTAAGATGAGGGGTGGATAGAGAAGCATCCACTTCGCAAGAACAGAGAAGACTTAGAGAAGTGATGTTGGGTGGTATGTACAGGGACCTCCGAGGCAGTTAGGACCAGCGGAGTTTCAATTGTGGGGCACACCATCACACATCAGTTAGAATGGCTGAGATGAAAGGAACTGACCATACCGGGTGTTGGGAGGATATGGGGAGTACCTGAAGCAGGTGCAAAATGCAAAATGATACAACCACTTTGGAAAAGCAGTTTGGCAGTTTCTTAAAAAGTTAAAACATATGATTTCCACACGACCCAGCCATGCCAATCCTAGGTATTTACCCTCAAAGAGTGAAAGCGTAAGTCACGCAAAGATTTGTATATGACCGTTGATGGCAGCTTCTTTGTAAACGGCCCCAAACCGGCAACAACCCAATTTCCATCAACAGGTGAATAGATAAACAAATTGTGGTATAATCATACAACTGAATACTTCGCAGCAAAAACAAAAAAATAAACTATAGATATCATGCTACAGCATGGACGAATCTTAAAATAATTATGCTGAATGAAGAAGCCAGGCCAAAAAAAACCAAAAGTACATACTCTAGGATTTTGTTTATATAAAATTCTTGGAAATAGAAATGACTCTATAGGATAGAAAGCCGATCAGTGGTGGCCAGAAAGGAGGGAAAGAAATTACACATGGGCATGAGGAAACTTCTGGGTAATGAAGTTTTAATTATGTCTTAACTATGTTTTAATTATGTCTGTCTTAATTATGGTGATAATTTTAGGGGTATGTACCTATATCAAAATGTGCCAAGTTGTACATTTTAAATATGTGTAAACTTCGTGAATACACTAAAACTTACTGAATCATACGCTTTAAAAGAATGAATTGAGTAGTATGTGAATTATACCTCAATAAAACTGAGTATGTACAGTTTATTGCATGTCAGTCACATCTTAAAAAGTTGTTGTCTTAGCCAGCTTGGGCTGCTATAACAACCAACCACAGACTGGGTGGCTTATAAACTGGAATTTATTTCTCTCAGTTCCGGAGGATGCAGTGCAAGACCAAGGCACTGGCAGATTCAGTATCTGGTGAGCGCCTGTTTCCTGGATCACAGACAGCCACCTTCATAGCACTAAAAGAAATGAGCTTTCAAGCCATGAAAAGACATGCAAGAATCTTAAACGCATATTACCAAGTGAAAGAAACCAATGTGGAAAGGCTACGTACTGTATGAATTCATCTATATGACATTTTGATAAAAGCAAACTATGGAGATGGTAAAAAGATCAATGATTGCTGGGGGCTGGGGACATGGGTAAGTGGTGCACAGAGAATTTTTAGGGCATTGACACTATTCTGTGTGATACTCTAATGGTGAATACACATCATTACACATTTGTCCAAACCTATGGAATGTACAACACCAAGAGTGAACTCTAATGTAAACTAAGCACGTTGGGTGCCAGTGTAGGATCCTCAGTTGTAACAAATGTCCCACTCTGGTGGATGGGATGCATGTGCAGGTGCAGGGGGTATACAGGAACTCTCTATACTTCCTGCTCAATTTTGCTGTGAACCTAAAACTACTCTAAAAGTAAAGTCTATTAAAAAGAGTACTGTGGCAGAAGAGAACCATTTCTCCATTTAGTTCACAGTAAAAGAGCATAATGATTAACTCAGTACGGCTTGCCCTCAACGGAGGACTTTGCTCTGTATTGTTGAAAGGCCCTTCTACCCAAAGGGACCAAATTAAGTTCCATCATCCATCATGCTCCTTTGGGCTGAGGCCCCCAAGGCCTATGTGTAAAAGCGAAAATCCACGGGGAGGCAGGGCAGGAAGCAATTATAGCTCATTAACGCCTCAGCACCCTAGCTGGGTCCCCTGCATGGTGCTAGGGCCCCGGAGCGTTTCATGATGAGGAATTAGCCTACTTGCTTACTTCTTCCCTAATTAATGTATAGGTGGAAAGAAAATCCAGTTCTCTGGATTGCCTACTGTTGACCTCAAGCAGACAAAAGGCTTTTCTAAAGAACCAATTCTGTCAAAATGAAATGTGCCTTCACAAGTTAGAAGAATTTCCAATCTGGCATCTGTCCTTGATGGTTGGGCTCTTTGGGGCCAGCAGAGAAAACTGTGCTTTTTCTCTTAATGTGGTGGGCCTTCCTAGTTATTACAATCCAAAATGACAATTTTTCTATGTCTAACACAGCTCTGATGAACAGAATTTAGTCTTCACGCCCAGATAAATGAAACCTAGATAATTTAGGAAACAGAAGGTCCTTGAAATAACA